TGACAGGTGGGTGGGGCAGGGTTGGTGGCCGCCCCTCCTGGCTGAAGTTGCTGTTCTTTGCTTTTTGCAGATTCCAGACCCAGGAGGAACCTGGCAGTAAGTACCTCCCCTCACCTCACCCCGCCCCTGAGTCTGACCTTTCCCATAAGCCTGTGGTTTGGAGGGCCGCGGGGGAGGGTCATTCCCTTCTCTCCCAAGTGCCCAGAGTTGGGCCCCTTCGGGGAGCACAGAGCCTGGCAGGCTGGGCCAGGGATGAGGCTCCACCCACAGCAGCCTGGGCTCCTGGCACAGCTGCAGGGGATTTCCAGAAGGGCTTGCATCAGGACCGTGGGGTCAGGAGAAGGGCTCAGTGTCCCACTGTCCTCCACTCCTTGGTCTTGCAGACCTGAAGCTAGATGTCAAACCAGCAGCACAAACGTAAACTCGCCACCCACTGAGCCCTGGCTGCAAGCTGGCCACCTGCTTTCTAAAAGTGTCTCGGGTGCTCCTGACATGCAGAAGCTGCTATGTTGTCCTGTTTCACCAAAGGGGACACGGTGGCCTGGACAAGTCAAGAGGCTACTAGTCAGTGGCTCCATGAGGGCTCGAGCCTGGCTTTGTGTCTCCTGAGCTGCCTCCGAGGGGGAGGCCCCCCCATCCCTTAGGAAGTGCCCTCCATGTGCCCTGCGCTGGGCTGGGGGCTTTGTCACCACTCCCGCAGTTGTTCCAGCCACCAGTACAGGGGGCGTCTAGGGCCTCACTAGGCTTGTCCTGGTGCCCCGTCCTGGGCCCAGCTTCCCAGGGCTGTGTGGGGAGGTGAGGTAGGGCACTGGCCTCGGGAGCTGGCGGAGGGGCGCTGGCTGAGACGCCGGGATACAGTTACTCAGCTCCTCTGTGCCTTGGTTTCCTCATCTGTTAAAGGGGCAGGTACTGAAATCCCACTCCTCATAGGATGGTTGGGAGGATCGACGGGCTAGTGTGATAGAGCAGGGCTCTGCACACAGTGGGTACCGTGTGAGTCGCTGACTGCCATCCTTATTATTTGGTGCCTGGGATGCTGCGCACAGCACTCCCTGGGTTGCTTGTGGCAGCTTTCTTTTTTTTTTTTAACATCTTTTTTTTTTAATTTTATTTTTTAGTTTTAAGTGGACACAGTATTTTTATTTTACATTTATGTGGTGCTGAGGATCGAACTCAGTGCCTCAAGCATGCTAGGTGAGCGCTCTACCCCTGAGACACAACTTGTGGCAAGGTTTAAAGCAGAGGGGAGACTCCCTGGAGGTTTTAGGGGTGAAGAAAAGAGGGTGTCACCATTTGGGGACATGGGGAGTTGGGGATGCCCTGCTCAGCGCCCATTCCCTTCCCACAGCAGCCCAGAAGTGCATTGGAGACCGAGCCAAGCACAGAAGAGAAGAGCTCTGTGAGCCCCGCGGCTGCGGGGACCTGCGTCAGTGTGGGGGCAGCCTGCCCGGAGAGCCTGCCCCTGCTGGATTCCAGCCCAGGCGGGGGCCCCCCATCCCCCAGGGACCCCCCTGAGCCCCGAGTGTCCACAGAGCACACCAATAACAAGATCGGTGAGTCGGCCTGTTTCAGGGTTCCCGGTGTGGCTCGGGGGCTGCGGGGAGCTGGGTGCTGGGTTCTGGGTGGAAACTGGAGACTCCGGGACCTCGAGGTCCCCCGGGAAGGGCAGGACTCCCCTGCATCTGGCCCTGCGGCTGCCCCGTGTGAGTTCTGCTAAGGTAGAAGGGCTATGGGTTGGCCTCCCGGAACCACCGGGGACTTGGGCACAGATTCCTGAGCACAATGTCTGCTGTCGTGAAAGGAAAGATGACGTGAGTGCTGCCCCAGCCCCCCGCCCAGGGACAGGAGTGGAGGTGCCCGTGACCCTGAGACCTGCCACTTGGTTGGCACATGTCTTTGCCTCTTACTGTCATGACACCTTCTGGGGACGGTGACCTTCTCCCCATGTTACAAAGGAGGAAGCTGTGGCTTAGCCCAGTGAGGTCCTTTTGCCTCTCCTATGGCTGAGAAGGACGCAGCTGGGCCTCAACCCGCATCGGCTGGGCTCTGCAGCCCTTGGCTTGTCCGCTGGCCTCTGCAGAAGCACAGAGACCATGTTGGGCCAGGGAACCCAGCACTCCCCAGCCGTGGCTGCCCTTGAGCTTGGACAAACTTGCTGCTGGCCTGGTACAACCAGAGCGCTTCCCCCAAAGTATGCACCTGCCCGGATTCCACCCCTGCTCAAACCCTGCCGCAGTCCCTGTCCCCTTCAGCACAAATCTGGGGCTCTCAGTTGGCAGTCAAGCTAGCCCCTCCCTACCAGACTCACCTACTGGACCCTGCTGGTCTGCCTCCCACTTCATGGTGGTTTCCAGAACTTTCAGGCCTGTCTTACCCTCTGAGCCTCTCTGCAAGGAACAACCAACTCCCCTTCCTCAAGTCCAGTGAATTCCTGAGTCTCCTCTTCTAGGAAGCCCTCCCTGCCCCTCTGCTGCCTACCCTGAGACCCTGGGCTCTTCCACCCAGGGGCCTAGCACCCAGCCTGGGCCTTCCCCGCCTCTACTTGGCGGGAGCTCCCCGGGGCAGGCCTCCGTGGGCCCCCCTCCTCCTTCTCTGGGAGTGAAACTGACCCTGGGATAATAGCAGAGAGTATTTGATGTTCTGCACATTTCCACGGCAGGCCCTGGTGGGAGAACTTCAGGGCAGTATTTCCTCTTGAACAAACTTTTGCAATCACAACTTTCAGGAAGTTTTCTTTGAAAAGAATGTGTTTGGGGGAAATGCCAAAGGCTTCCCCTTCAAATTTCCTGAGAATTAAGTCCTCGTTGGAATGTTCAAGCCCACGCTGAGCAATCCTGGCTGGAACTCGGGGCCCAGGGAGGGAGGGGAGGGCCGGCTCTCCCCGGGTTCCAGCTGCTCTAGACTCTGGGCCGCCTTCCCCAGCCGTCCGCTGGCCTCACTGGCGTGCAGCGGGGTGGGCCACACTGCCAAGGGAACGCCTTGGAGCTTCTCCTGGACAGCAGATGACCCCTGTCCTTCTGATGCCACCCCAGCTTCCTGTCTCCTCCTGGGTACCAGGCATGGGGGCCCCCCTCCCCTGTCCAAGACAACCCCCTCAGAGCCCTGGGTGGGCAGGAAGAACCCCCACAGCTGGAGGTGGGCAGCCCTGTGATGGGGCAGAGCCAGAGGGACCAGGCCAAGTGACATGTCAGGGGTGACAGCTCAGTCCCAGCTTTGGCTGCTTCTGTCCAAACCAACCACTCTTCCCCACATCTTCCTGCCTCTCCTCTCTCCTGCTGTCTGCCCTCTGCCCTCCCTTCTGT